ATAGTACCATATATAATATATACCATAGTATAATGCTATGTATAATAGTTTATGTAGAATTGTAGAACATAAAATAATTAATCAATTAAATGAAAAATAAATAATTAATTCACAATTTTCCTTCCCTATTATTGCAGGCTTAGGACTATCAACAAATTATCATCGTTGGCTTGGTTAAAAATTGTTTTTTTTTCTAAATTACATGACAGAAATCTTATACTTTATGAAATAGTATGCAAGAATATGATTCATGGCCCATGCGTCGAGTGAAATATTAGATCGCCATGTAACATAATCGAATCGTGGTAAAATGAGTCTGGGTGAAAAAGTTCTAAGCCTAAAAAGTCCATATTAAAAAGGTCCAGAGTATATTATATACATAACAATATTTAAAATAGTTTATTAAAAAAAAAAAAAATGCAATGATTATAAACTATAATTACGTACCTACTTATTAGTAGGTATCATCTATATATATCAAAACGGATTTCCGTCTGTTTGTCCTTTATGCATTCCTAAACAGATGAACCAATTGCGACGAAATTTGGTACAGAGATATATTAGACCTATGGGCATAAGATAGGCTAAGTTAAAAAGTGATAGAATTAAATATCATTCTATTGAATATTTGAATTGTCAGACTTTTCTCGATAAAACGAATAAATTTTCATAATGATAAACTAAATTGATTATCAGWGTAAGTTTATTACTTAGTATATTTTAACCATTATCTATCTATATGTATAAAAAATACTGCTAGCATGATCACAAGCAACGAATTTAATTAACAGGTTGAGACATTCAAGAGGTAGGATTTTTAACGGGCTACGAAGTGCACGGGTTCAGCTAGTATATAGTATAGAAAYATCATGATATTACGTATTTTCTAGTATAAATTATCGTACTAATATTAATATTTGTCTTGAAAAAAATAAAAGTATTCATATATTAATAATATTTTTTTTTGTGTAGGTAATAAGAATAAAGTACATACGTATTATATATTATACAAACGAAACAACGATTAATTTCTGGCTGAATATGTATTTAYAATTTTCATTTTGACATTAGAAATTATCCGATTATCGTAGGTAATGTAAGTCGTAAGGTAAGATAAGACGATAAAACGATTTATATTATCTTTATCATATACAGTGAAACCTTCTTTAACGGACACCTCACAATAGCGGACGACGTTTAAGCGACCAAGAGTGTCCGGTATTTAGAGGTTTCACTGTAATTAAAAAATATAACTTTCCATGCGTATTGAACATTTTGTTTATCGTTGATCGTTTATTGCTATGTATATGTATATCCAAAACTGCATCTGTCATATACATGATAATAATAAGTAAGTAACTATAAGTAATAGGTATGTATAGCACATAGAACATAGGTAATGATAATTGCTCGGGCCTAAACTCATCTACCGCTAAAATATTGTCGGGCCGGAACTAACCTATACCTAAAATATTATCGGGCCGGAATTCACCGGTCTTCAACACCGGAAACGACAAGTCGGGCCGCAATTCACCCACAGCCAATGGGAGGCAATTCGTGAGCGCCCATCAGAATTGTATTKTCATTTAAAGGAACACTTATCGCTAACGTAATTTTTTTATATTACATTCGTGATTTAAGATTAGGTAGGTTTTTTCGTGCCGTYGTCACTGCCATGTACTGATAGTAATATAATAGGTATTCATAAATATACATTTTTATTTAAATTCCATTTTTCTATTACATGAATAATCTTATACTCCTTGTCATTAACTTTCAATCGTCTAAAGTGTCGTCTCACAGATTAAAAATTTCATTTTTCCCGACATATAAACATATTTTCTAATATGCCATTTTATGCATTGGCACAAGCAATCTACTATCTATATCAAAGTGGTTTCAACGACTAGATTAAGAAGCGCAYTAAATTTTATCTATTGAAACATGTGCTTCTTAACATACATAATTTAACCATAATAGTTCGTCGAAGATACGGATACTAAAAATGTAGTACCTATATTTTATTTTCAAAAAATATAGCTAACTTATAAAATAAAACCAATTAATTATATGTCTTTTAAAAATTCAACTTTTAAATAATTCACATCGGATAAAATCAGCGGGTCTTTTAAAAATCTAATCAATTCTGATAAATAAAATAAAACTAACCTTTATCCTCATATACATCCATCGCGTCCATATACATTTCATCCTCTGATATACCATTTGACCCACCGACTGGGGCATCTTGTACAAATATCTGCGGCGTGATTTGGATTTCCCCCCTGTGGAGTGGCACGAGGCGCAAATTGAATCATGCTTGCTTGTGTTGGCTGATCGATGATCTGTTCAGCGGGCATCGGTCTCAAATGAGCCGGAACGCTGACGATACCTTAGGATAAAATAATAAATTCAGTAGCGTAGTCCTTATGCTTTTTGTAATAATTATAATTATAATTATTTTTTATCTAGTCCGTTATCCGATATTTCCAAAGGAGTTTAAATACCTAGTGTATTCATATTATTCCAAAATAACCCTGAAGCTAATAAAGTTCTGCGAATGGTAATATTATCTTATTCCAGTTGTTATGTTTAAGGCTTATTTTAATGATCATTCATTTTTAGGTTTTAGCATTGCCTCATCTTCCTGCAGAAATACACCAGGAATGTCGATTTACTATGAGTGATGGGTTTCGTACTATAATTGRATATGTAAACCAGTATGATCATATTTCGGAACGCCTTTATAATTTTTTAATTGGTTATATTCAATGCTTTTGGTTCGATCAAATAGATTCAGCAAGTATTACTGTTTTTGGGTAATTTTTATTTAATAAATAATAATAAAAGTAMATTTTAATTTACATTGTATGTTTTTGAAGGTCAGACATTCGAACCAACAACTATTTGGAATCGTTTCATAGAACGTTACTAGCCAAATAGGAAAATACCCTAATATTTAGGATTATTTACGTAAACATAATCCTAAATATCAGTTTTCATGAATTATTTTTTATTTGTTTGTGTTGTATTTTAGCAAGGCTGGGTAAGTTATGATTTAAGTCTATTTCTTATATTATGACTAAAAAAATGTATAATAATGGTTATAACATTGCATATTATGTATATTAATATCTTTATAAGTAACTGATTTTTAAAAATTGCTGAGTATTTTACTGTTATGTAAATTATAAAGTATTTAACAAATAATACTGCCAGATATAGGTGATGGAAGATGTCCATTTAGTTGTTTTGCTTGTATAAATAATAAATATATACTACATATAATATAATATGTAGGTAATAATAAAGTGAGTCTTATTAATCTGTTAGTTGTTAGTAACTACATTTTGTTATAGTTTAATAACCGGTCAAAACCGAAATGTTTTTACGATTTCTCTATATACACGGYGGCAGCACCGGTGCCGAAAACCAACGACTGTTSACCAATAACAGAACGAATATCCATAGCCYGGATAATCACAGTGATCGGCGGCTCAGTCTATGTGCCTAAGAGCGGTTCATTCTTRTGGAACAGAATAGAGAATAGTGGAGTTCAATATTGTTAAAATAGGTGTAAAAAATGTTGAAAAAGCTAAATATTATATTAAATAGAATAAATGTATTAAATACAAATTACAAATAGCCACAAAATGTTGTTATAAAATACCCAATTAACCTATATATTTACTACCTATCAAATAATAGACACTGATATTATCGGTTATATATATATATATATATATATATATTAAATATATAAATATATATTATATACATATATATTATATATATACGTTCAGTGGCGTCATTTGGGGAGGGGTGGATGAGGGGCAACTTGGGAATTTTTCATTGTCATTGTTGTTGTAACAACCATAGGTCGGGACATTTAAAAATACTTATTTAAATAAGAATGAATAATAAATTATTTTATTACACACAGGATGTCCCCGTGAGGATTTACCAATTGGGATATCTCCTAAAATAATGAAAATATTATAACTCTGTTTTATTTATTAGACTGACGAGGATGAACAAGGACTAAAATTATTTCATATTTTAATTTAATTTAAAGTTTTGGTAAAAAAACTAGAAAAATAATTGTTCTGATAAGACTTATTTAATATTTAAAATTCGTCACACATAGTTTTTTAATTTTTACGGGGGTGGTTTTTGAGCAGGAATTCCGRGGTTTGCGTCAGGAATCGTCAGAAATTGAGCACTAAATATTGGCGTTGGAAAAATTAAAAAAGTCGAATCCCGACCTTCGGGTGTTGGAGGAATGTTTCCCCCGCCGCACATATGGTTTTTTAATTTTTACGGAGGTGGTTTTTGAGCAGGAATGCCGGGGATTGTGGCAGGAATTGAGCACTAATTACTGGCGCAAAGAAAATTGCAAAAAGTTAAATTCAGAAGGTAAAAATACCAGATCCCTGCAAGTATAAGTATAGCATGCCAAAAAGYTTGTGGACCTAGTTGTAAGTAACCAACCACCAGATTGTTTGATGCAGACACAGACACTCGAACACAGCCTTCGACTCTATATTTCTTTYCATACAAAAAGTAAAAGATGTATCTAGGGGTCCAGCCTAATTAGTTACCGATTTACACCGGTATCTGATGACTGATATAATGATATACCTAGTTAACTTATGTGCACAAATTTTGAGCTTCAAGCATAAACCAGAAAAAACTCAGTAAATAGTTGCAAATAAATGCATCAAGTTCATAATTTTGATTTTGATATTTGATATTAAATTTGTAAAACTAGGCAAATTTAAAAATAAATATAAATTATAAATTATAATATTTATGAATTATTGAATATCTTATTGTTTACACGAATAAACATATTTGGTATTATTTCTATTTTTTATAAAATTAATGATCTCAAAACTTTAACATAATTATACTGTGTGAATTAAAATTAAATTTTTTTAGTTTAAGTACGTATTATAATATCTCTTACAGTTGGTATATTGAAAATACATAAACATATTTATTATTAAATTAAATATCCATATTTTTATTGTACAACGATTAATATATTTCTAAATAATTAAAGATGCTGTAATTAAATCATCGTTCAAAACAAAATTATTTTCTTAGGTTTTAATAATGCCATCTCCRGTGTTTGTAGAAGAAAGTCCTTCGTCATTTGCTATGATTTTATAATTTTATAAATAAGAATTTTCAATGGGCGTTACTCCAGTATCTGTAGCGTCACTGAAATCATTTTTTATGGTATTCGTAGCATCCTTTGAAGCATGGTATGCAGTTTTGGCTGTGTCATCAACAGTATTCACAGCATCGCCAACAGAATTTCCTACAGCTTTCACAGCATCCTTGGAAGCATGGTATGCATTTTCGGCTGTATCATCAACAGTATTCACAGCATCGCCAACATCATTTCCTACAGCTTTCACAGCATTCTTTGAACCATGATATGCAGTTTTGGCCATTTTTTCAACACCATCTTCAGCTTTATTAGTAGCATTTCTTACATTATTTCCAATGGCTTTTCCTACAGCTTTCGTAGTGTCATAGTCAGCCTTTAAATTATCATGTACATTACTTATTCCATCACGAGCAGCTCGTTTAATATCATTTCCAAGTGCATGCATATCATCAGAGAACTCAGAATCATCAGAACTACTATAACTACTTCTACTATATTTATTTTTTACAGTATTATTAGAAGGCTTATAGATTTTTCCAATAACCTGTCCCTTTGCACCATAATCATTTTGACCAATTGATGTATTATTTTTTCTTGAAACTGTATTTGGGRTGGAATTTAAACGATTATTGAAAGCATTAATTGGAGAACCAATATAATTATCTTTAGTAGAATCTTCTATTMGATTATTAACATTTGACACATCAGATTTACGGTACAAATATCCTTTGAATTGTGCATTATCAATTAGTAAATTAGAATCCGAATTCTGTTTATTTAAATTGGAACCCTGCTTATTTAAATCACTACCAGTAGGCAAATWATACCCAGAATTCAATAGTTGTGGCGTTAGATAAGGTCCTTCAGGACTCTTTATATTAGCATTGGTTCCTGTATTTGAAGAACTAGTAGAATCCCCAATTAATTGGTTGTATTCCTGTATACTAATTGATGGCATAATATATTTATTAAAACCCTGAGCATCATACAAATCATTTTTATTTACTTGATCTATGTAGTTTGAATTAACTGTTTCTATATTATCTATATTGCCGACGTTATCTAAATCATACACTGTACGAGCAGATGTTAAATCTATACCCAAATAATCGTAAGTTGTTTGTGGAATTTGGGTATTAGAAAATGGATTAAAATCAGTTGTACTAAATTGATCTTTTTCAGGAATTGATTCATCTATTCCAATATTAGTTTCATAATAAGTATTGTCATATTTATAAAGATCAGCATTCATAACAGACATTTGAGGAATATTATCATGATCAATAGTGGTGTCATAGGGCACTAAAATATTTCCCGTAAATGTATTGTCATCGAAAGATGGAGAATTCTGATACTGTAGTTCATTATTTTCATACCTATTGTTTAAATTAGGTGCATATGAATTATAGGGAGATCCTTGCAGATTAAAAGTATTATACGCAAAGTTTTTAAAATAATCATCAAATATATTATTATCATTTTGGGTGCCATAATTACCATCTGAACTCCTCTCATAAAAATAGTCTTTATAAACACCATAATTTTCGTCTGGAAGAGGATTATTAACTCTATCGATATTTATATAATCAAGATTATTAGATATATACGTATCGTCCATGTTTAATTGATCATCGTTCAAAACCCCATCCGTATTAGGTGRCTCATAAACCGTATCATACTTGTAATTCAAGGATCCATACGTTTTTGAAATCATACTTGAATATTCAGTCTGTGGAAAATTAGATGRTGTGAATAAAGCATCTCTGTTCAAAGGCATAGAGTCAGAATTTACCCCCGTTGGAGTTTGATCTACTTTTTGTGGTGATCCATTCATACTTGGTGGAGTGTTCAATCCTGTATCTCCACCACTCGGTGAGCCATTTGTGTTTTCATCTGGAAAAGTTGAKAGAATGTCAGGGGAGTAACTAAATTGATCTGGTGAAACAGTTTTCTGAAAATTTAAAGTTGAAAATGGTTTTTGTATTATTTGATTATTTAAATCTGTATTCATATTTGGTACATAAGGATAACTGTTCTTTTGATCTGCTGTGTTTTGTATATATTCGTGGTAATTTGATGTATTATCACTTGGTTTGTATCTAGTAGAATCGAAATCTTGTCCACTCAGCTTGTTCAATGAATATACATCAGAAGAATTCGGAGAAATACTATAAATAGAACCATTTGAATTAGATGACAATGCTGTTGCAGTGGGAGCTCCTCCATTATGGTTAATTTTAGAAGCACTATTRTTAGAATTTGGATTTGACGTTTGAGGATAGCTTGGAACACCTATGTTTATATCCCTAGGTAAACCAGCGGGATATGGCAAAGGCAAGTAAGATTGAGAAGGTGTACCATTAACATTTGTAGCAGTACTTGAAATGCTAGTTAAATTACCATTAGGGGAAGTAGGTTTTGCACTTGATTGAGAACCATTTAAAGTAGTATTTAAATTTGCTGAAGTAGGAATTCCTTCATTTAAATCATTTGTATTTTTTATTTTGTCTTCGGKATAATTTGATGATTGGAAACTGTACGTTAAATTATTATCACTTAACTTGTCAGAATAATCAGAATATAGTCTATTCAGCTTATCTGTTAACTCTACATTTAATTCAGAATTTAAATTAGTAGAATCTAAATTATTTAAATCCAGTTCTTTAGTTGAATATATCTCTTGTGCGATCTCGGTGCTTATATTTGTTGTAATGGAATAATTTCCATCATTTTTGGTAGTAGCTGATTGAATAGTTTTTCCGTATATATACCGTGTAACTTGTTCATTTGAATTAGACACTGGTAATTCATTAGTATTTAAAAATTGTTGTATATCAGCTTGCTGTAATCAATTTAAAAATTGTGTCAGTTAATATTGCACTAATGAAAAAATTTCAAAAATTATATTAAAATATAGTATTTTGGATAATAGAAATCTGTAAATGTGTACTAATCCTTATCAAATAAACTTATGTAAATCCGTATTTTAGTTATTAAAATTAAAATTTTTAGTTTAAGAAATTTATATTTTGTTTCTCAGAGAGAAATAGTCAATTTAAAAGCTATTGTTAAGTAAATTATCTTTCTAATTTATCCAATTTTTTTAATAATTTAAAATTAATCTTAAAAGATAATTTTATTGTATAGCCGTTTGTTAAATTTAAACTATTTGTTTAGTGTGTACATAATTGAAATTTAATAACTTACTGCTGCAGCGACAAATGTTAGTATACCAGCTATACATGTATATGAAAATAATATCATTTTAAAATACAATTGAATATTATTATAATATTTTAGTACAATGTGTTTTGTGCTTATAATTTTTTTTTAAACTGATACGAACAAATTATTCTTTTTATTTTATTTATAGTTATTGCTAATTTGTTTCATTAGTTTTATAAAGTAGAAACTAATTAAATACACAATTGTGTATAT